TTTTCAGTTTCAGTTATATATTGGGGGGACATTTTGGGCATTGGGGGGGGGAACATGTTCCCCTCAATGTATATGGTGACTACGGCCCTGTCAGCAACATAATTAGGCTACAGTTGCAAAGGTGAAGTGTGCTGGTCTTGTCATACAAAGTTTGATGGAGTGTCAACTGGACAATATGGAGATATTTACATCTTGAAAGCTGGACTACAAATGTGGATAGACAGGGAAAAACACACGCAAGCCTAAGACGTGGTAAGATGCAATATTCCTCACTATATGAAGTGACTGATAACAAGATCTGTATAATGGACTGTAAAGAAATTCATCAGGTTTTTATTTTGTAGACAATTGATCTGTCACAATGGTGTGTGTGACCCTGCATTCGCGAGGGCAACTGCCCATTGGTCTGACAGCCCATTGTTCCGACCGTATTAAACCCATTGTTCCGAAGTCCCGTTGTTCCGAAATCATCATGATGCCCTGTGGTTAAGGTCTGGTTAGGTTTAGGCACAAAAAACACTTGGTTAGGGTTAGGAAAAGATCATGGTGTGGGTTAAAATGAAAAAGAAAGTGACAAACACATAAACCGTAAGCCTGCTTCACCTCAAGCCTTTCCCAGCTGACCCAGAGCCGGTCGCGACGCACCATTAAGGTAGAAATACGCCCGCCAGGAGCTGTTCAGCACCGCGGACGGTCGGACGAATGGGATGTCGGACCAATGGGCTGTTGGACCAATGACATGGACCCTTCGCGAGTAATCCATCCAAGAGTAATGTGTGTGCAAAGCTGTATGAAAGCTCTGTTATACATAATTTCAGTGTAACTTTATCATTTTTTTCGCTGTGAAAATATTGGACTACCGACAAGTGTCCGACAAAGCTGCAGTTCCGCTGTTTCATGTGATATGAGTGGCTTCTCGCTAATGGTTGCGGAGAAAATCCATAGAGAGGGACGAACAGGTGTGAATTTGGGCGCACTATGTGTCGTTCCTTTTTAACCTATATGGTTAAAAAGCCTCTTGGATCAGCTGGAAACGTTAGCCATATTGATCTTGAATGTGACCGCTGCGCAGTGGCGCTGCCTCATGTGATTTCGGAATAATCGGAAAAATGAGTTTCCGACCGTAAAGCAATATTTCTGTGGAAACGGTTGACGACGTGTTTTTTAAACATTTTTAGTGATAAAATACAACACATCTTCTTTGTAATGTCCATGATGTCTCCACATTACCACCTAAACGGTCATGAACACACAATGAAGTAAGAACGACTTCCCGACATGGGAAATCGGACCATCCGAGGAGCACATGAATGATACTTGGTGGTTTACGTATGACAAAAACACGTTGGGGCAAGCCCTCCCGGAACCCACAGAGATTGCACTGAAGCGCCTGCATTTAGAAAAAAAAGCATTTTACATGGAAGTCTATGAGAGTGAGTCGGGGCGATTTCCAGCCAGGCTGATATCGCCCCAAAGGGCCGGAATGCGACTTCACACTGCATCTGATTGGATATTCAGAGGCAGGACGAGCTGTTTCAAGTGAAAATTATCAGAATAATTAATATATTGTGTGTATCTATGACAATAATGATGATGATCATCACACATTTATTATCATCTTTCTTTTGTGGCTCGAGGAGGGGCGGCGCCCTATCGCCCTCTATTGGCCAGTCGCCCCTGTTAGTGACTATAGGGCGAAAAAATTGACCATAAATTGTGATCACATTCATTTTCCTCATTGACAACAATACATTCAGAGCTGCTGCAAGTCTCCTACGGGGGCGTGGTGCTGACGTCACTGAATCAGGAAGTGTGAGTGGGGTATCTCGCTTTATCCAGTATCTCTGATAATATCTTACCTCACATTTCTTCTTCTGTGGTCCCAGTAACTGTTGCAGTGGACTTGGTCAAGAACCTGGTTAACTGACAGTAACAGGACTTGTGGTATCGGACTTCCATGGCCACACAGTCTTTATCTTTAATATGCAAAAGAATCCTTTCAGCAACAGACCTTTAAAGAATGAAGATAATTACATGATGTCTGTCTGTATTTGTGTGTATATACAGGAGAGAGAGAGAGAGAGAGAGAGAGAGATTTTTTACCCACCTGCTGATAACGTCTTTGCCAGTGAAAGTTGATCCTTTCCCTGACACGTTGATGTATTTATCTACTTTCTTACATATGATGCACAAGGCAGGCAGAACAGGACCAGAGGAAACAATAGGTAGACCCATCCTGGACCGGAGTTTCTTTCGCGAAGTTTCACTTGTTGATCCTGAGATGCTGCTGGTGTTTCGGATTTACTCGCCACTATGTTAACTGGCGACCTTCAGCCGAATGCGTCTATGGTTGTCGTAGTGACAACAGCTGTTTTCAACCAGGAAGAGAACACGTAGCTGTCCTTGCGAAGGCCTCTTTCCTCAATTTTTCATAACAGTATCAAAACATAGCCGACCTGATCCGTCTTTGGACTCTTGTTGGAGGAACCCACGGACCGACACTCATACAAAAAGCAGTGGTTTAAACCCACTTAATTCATAAACCTAACATTTATTGTTGTGCTACGGGTCGATAGCCAATATTCATATACTCACGTGGAAATACTTTATTTTAAAAATTAAGCAATACAGCAGCAGCTGTATAAATCCAGTTACTTCATAAACGTAACGCAAGATAACATCATGTTGTAGCCTTCATAGGCAACATAGAAAATCACATCTTTTATGTAAACCTAGAAATAACAATAAATACATTTGAGGGTGGTTCAGAAAAAAAACACATGGTAGGCTATATGGTATACCAAACATGTACAGTGAAGAAACAAATATGTAAGATCCTGCAACATAACCACATTTGTGCCACCGACCAACTTAACTCCTTTGGCCAAAAGGTCATATTTCCTTGAGATGACGCACAAGTAGATTTGATTTACTCATCTGGCTGTCATTCATGTAACTAAACTTGCATTCAATGTTCACCTTTAAACAATGATCTGCTGTGCTTGTAGTTTCCAGCAGATCATTGTTTAGCCCACTCGGTAGCATTGTGCGGGTGAGAAACATGACATCGGAAGTAAGTGAAAGTGTCAAAAGTCAAGTTAATATTCTACGCAAATAGGGACTTTCTCAGATCATGGCAAGACCAAATGATTCCAAGGGTGAACTGCATGTGGCTCCGGGTGTGCCTTATTAGGCCCACTTGGCAAAACCATTCTGTTCTATTCTGTGGGGTGTCTGGGTCCAGTAATGGGGGTATGGGAGTATTAGCCCTTCTCTTTGTTGCTCACTATGTTCTGCCTATGAGAGGGAGGTGGAAATCACTGTTGAACCCAGAATGAATATCTGAATATCCATCGAATATCCAATGTCAAACTAACTTCATCTCGATACTCTAAAATGCTTTGCAGGAGTTAATGGACTTTCATACCACATAGCCTACAGCCTAGTGTTTGTCATATTTGTATGCTTTTAATCGCCTTAATGCTACAACATAAACAGATAATTTATCTTAGAGATAAATCTATTATACAGCTGCTGCTTTATTGCTTAATTTAAAATAAAGTATTTCCACGTGAGTATATGAATATTGGATTTATCGACCTGTAGCACAACAATAAACGTTAGGTTTATGAATTAAGTGGGTTTAAACCGCTGCTTTTTGTATTGGAATGCAGTGAGATTGTAAAATGTTCCTCAGTGCATGGACAGTGTGGTCACAAGTTGATCTGGCTGCCTCCCAATTTGAAGACATACTGTAGCTGGCTGTATGTTGTCGGATTTTTATTGGATCTGTCTGTGAAGTGGTGCTGTAATAGTGGTGTATCACGTTAATTGTGCGCCTATAATTTATCTTCCCATAATGAAGCGGGTTCAAATCCCGTGAAAATATTATTTTTTACGTTTCACAGGGCTGAACGGTTCTTTAATATGGCACGTTTATTTAGGCAGGCACCAGAGACGAAACTGTGTATGCCTATTTAGAAATTTTTTTTCGAAATAAGAGTCAGATTTACAGGAAAAGCAACTTGGCCTCTTCCTGTTTTCAACATTCCGACATAACAAGTGTGATTCAAACCGCGACTGAGTGTCGGTCCGTGACTGGGTTCCTCCAACAAGAGTCCAAAGACAGATCAGATCGGCTATGTTTTGATATTGTTATGAAAAATTGAGTGAAGAGGCCTTCGCGAGGACAGCTACATGTTCTCTTCCTGGTTGAAAACAGCTGTTGTCACTACGACAACCATAGACGCATTCGGCTGAAGGTCGCCAGTTAACAGGGTCGCGAGTAAATCCGGAACACTGGTGTTATGTCCCTACTGGTTTCCAGTTTAACTGGTTTCCTTACCGAACAGCTGCAGACGTGCTGCGCCTCCGTCAGCAGATTCGTCACAAATTCACAACATATTACTGGCGATTTGTGTATATATGTGTATATCACTTACAGAAGCATATTCGCTGTGGTAGATGTGGGCTGCGACTTTAAAATCGCCAGTAATATGTTGTGTATGGTTGTGAATTTGTGAGGAATCTGCTGACGGAGGCGCAGCACATCTGCAGCTGTTCGGTAAGGAAACCAGTTAAATTGGAAACCAGTAGGGACATGACACCGGCATCACCTGTTAAGCCTGCTTTATGGTCCTGCGTTAAATCAACGACATTGCTATGTCGTAGGGTACGTGGCTATACAGGCGTAGCCTGACATGCACCTCCCCAAAAATGTAACTACACGTCGAGGCGACGCAGACCCAGCGCAGACCGAGAGGGCTGTGATTGGTTTGCTTGGTAGCAACGCATTTCCGGTTCCATATTTCCAGATTGCGCCATCCCCGCCATCTTTAAACATCATCTGTTGCAATGGAGATGTTGCAGTATTAAGGCCCATTTATGCTCAACGTTCAATACGGATACGGACGAAGCCGTCTGTCCGTGCTCAGCGTTCATTTCTCTGTGACCGGAAAAGCCGGAAGCTAAACAAAGAATCAACTGGAGACGACTATAACCATTCAGGAAAGGAACGCAGCCTCCTACCGCTCTGGCGGTGAATTGCACCGCGCCGAAATGGAGTGACGGAGGACACTGGTGTGTTCCGAAGAGGAGGAGACTGTCATGAATCTGTGTTCCCAGTGTGTCTCCCCTCCCCTGTGTCTGTGTCTCCCTCTCTCCTAGGGGCGGGTCCAGCGAGCCAGTAGGTGTGCAGGCTACGCACCTGTTCCTCATTCTCATCAGTCTCAGTTAAAGCCCGGTCTCTCCAGCCACTCGTCGTCAGATCGTCCAGTTTCCCACGCGGTATACTGTGTTTTGACTCTCGACTCCTTCAGTGATCTTGTTGCCAGTGTTTCCTGTTGCTGTTTCGTTGTGACTTACCTTGTTTCTCCCGTGATCAGGAACCCTCCTCGCTCACCTGCATTCTGCCTGTGCCTGCTGCCGTCCTTCACCGTGCCTCTCCGTTGTGCCCCACCACCTCGTCTCTCCACCCTGCCTTCGCCCTGCCTCACTGCACTGCCTCGCCATCCAGCCACAACATTCAATTAAAGCACCTTTAACTGATTCCTGTCTCCGAGTCTTGCTTTTGGGTCCCACTCTCAGCTGTTTAACGTGACAGAGACTGGAGAGAGAGAGCAGGAAATTGTGTCGGATTGCAATCAACTGAACCGTGAGTGTAGGATGGGTGAAAGTTCGGGGGGATGGGATGAGGAAGGTATCAAACAGAAGAAGGAAAAGACAGGATAAGAAAGATAGAAGCGCAGCTTGGTCAGATCGAAGCAGTCAAGAAGAAGAGGGTGCTTTAAAAACAGTAAGAACTCATCGGGAAGATCCAGCACAACATGAGAGTGAGAAAGACTGGAATGTAGTCATATTGTTTGGGAGAGAGATGGGACACTTTCATCCAGTTAAAATGACTAAAGCAATTGAGAAAGAAATTGGAAAGATAAGATTTGCCAAGTTTCTCAACAACCGCAGAGTTCTTATTTCTGCTATGAACAAGCAGCAACAAGATAAAATCCTCAAGATAAATACACTTGATGGAGTAAAGATTATAACTCACGTTCCTGGTATAGTGGCTAAACTGAGAGGTGTAATTTCAAATGTGCCGCTAGAAATGACTGAGGAGGAAGTTAAGAAAGAAATCAGAGGAGGGAAAGTGCTAGGCGTCAAGAGGCTTCAGACAAACAAAGATGGGGTAAAGAAGGAAAGCTTATCAATGCTGGTGCAATTTGAGAGCACTCTTCCCAAAGAGATTAGAATGGGGTGGATCAATTACAGAGTAAGAGAATATATCCCAAATCCGATACGATGCTTTAGATGCCAAAGAATGGGACATGTAGCCCAACAGTGCCGCGGTAAACAAAGATGTGCAAAATGTGGAGGGGAACATGACTATGGCAAATGTGCGAAAGATGCTAAGCTGAAATGTTGTAACTGTGGAGGAGAACATAGTGCAGCATTTGGAGGCTGCTCTGTACAGATTAAAGCAAAAGAGATGCAAAAATGTAAGATAATCAATAACATATCATATGCAGAAGCTTTAAAGAGAGTTAATGATGAAATGCAAAGTAGACCCTCTGAAACATATGTAGAAGTAATGAGCGGCGAAGTAGGAGGAATAAGTGGCGACCTGAGGTCTCTACCACAGAGAGCTAGCAGGCCTAGAAGGCAAGAAGACAGAGCAGCTAAGGCTCCAATGACACAGCTGGTGCAGTGTACACATAAATGCAAGGTTAAAGAGGATTCACTGATTGTGGATCAGACAAGATTTATTGCCTTTATCTGTAAAATAATCAATGTGGCTACTAAGCAAGAAAAAAAAAGCGACAGAATTAAGACAGTGGTGAATGCAGCAGAAGAGTTCCTGGGTATTCAAGACTTAAGAGCAGAGGATATTCATGAAATACTGAGAACAAACACTGATGGAGGACCCCAGGGTAATGTAACATCTTTCATATGGTGATCCATTTACTACAATGGAACGCAAGAAGCCTTATTGCCAATGGACAAGAATTCAAAAAATATGTATCAGAATTAGAACCTCGACCGGATATCTTATGTGTGCAAGAAACCTGGTTAAGGCCTCATCTTGATTTTATTCTACCAGGATATACCTCGGCTCGATATGACAGGGTAGACAATCAAGGAGGTGGCTGTGTTACATTTGTTAAAGATAACATAGTGTTTTGAAGATTACCATCACCAGTAGACATGGAATGCGTAATTATTGAAGTGTGTAATGCAGATGTTAACACTAAAATAATCAACTTTTACAACCCATGCAAGAAGTTAAGTGTTGACATGTTTAATGCAATCAAGCATGATAATAGAAAAGAAGTATGGTGCAGGGATTTTAATGCACATAACAGTCTTTGGGGAAGCAAACACACAGACAACAATGGAAATGTGGTAGAGGAACTATTGGAGGAAAGATCACTAGTCTGTATCAATGATGGCAAAGGAACAAGACTAGATGTTTATATAAATAGCCTATCTTGTCTTGATTTAACACTTGTATCTAGAAATTTAGTATGTTCATCTGAATGGAATGTTGATGATAACGCTAGCATAGGAAGTGATCATTTCCCAATTCATTGTTCTGTAAACCTTAACATTTTTTCACAAGAAAGATACAAGCTAAAGAAATGGTGCTTTGAAAAAGCTGATTGGGGAAAATTCAAAGAACACTGTATAGAGAAAGCTAGTTCGATCTCAATGGATGGTAATATAGAAGAATGTGTTTCGTTAGTGACTAATCTAATTCTGAACGCTGCAATTAAGAGCATACCCATGAGTAATATAACTGGAAAAAGAAAAGTTGTACCATGGTGAAATGAAGAATGTACTAAAGCTGTTAGAGAACGAAATAGAGCTTTATGAGTACTGAGGCGTAACCTGAATCAAGAAAACCTAATAGACTACCAAAGGAAAAAAGCTCTGACTCGTAAGGTTATCAAATCTAGTAAAAAGAGTACATGGAGAACATATTGTGGTGCTATAGGTAAAGAAGTGAAATTAGGTGATGTCTGGAACATGTTAAAGAAAATGAGTGGTAAAAGGAAGTACACTAAAATACCAGTATTAGAGGAGGGAGAAACAATAGCTATAACTGATAAAGAAAAGGCTCATTTGCTGGGTAAGAGTTTTGCCAATGTTCATAGTGGAAATCATCTGGATGATCTGCATAAAAAGAGGAAAGAGGAAATACTCAGTGAAAACCAGAACGTAATTAGGAAAAAAGATAATGTAGACTCAACTCTTGATGCTGAACTGACTATGAGTGAGTTAGAAATAGCATTGCATGGCACTAGGAATGCAGCAACAGGTCAGGACCAATTAAGCTATGTGATGTTTCGCAAATTGCCTGATCAAGTATTGAAACTTGTCTTGGAATTATTTAACAAGATATGGAGAGATGGGGTCATGCAAAAAAGCTGGAAGACTGCACTTATTTTGCCTTTTAGTAAACCTGGTAAAGACCCAAATAACCCTGGAAACTACAGACCCATTGCCTTAACCTCACATTTGTGTAAATGGATGGAAAAGATCTTGGTCCAGAGACTTAATTATATATTAGAACAGAGAGGTCTAATGGCATCACATCAGAATGGCTTCAGGAAAGGAAGATCAACTATGGATGCTGTCATGAAAGTTAGCAATGAAATAGAGAAAACATTCAAGATGAAAGAACTGATGGTGATTGTTTTCTTTGATATTGAAAAAGCCTATGATTCCATGTGGAGAGAAGGACTGTTAATCCAAATGAATAGAATGGGTATTAGTGGAAGATTGTTTAACTGGGTACTAGACTTTCTTTCTGAACGAAAGTTTAGAGTAAAAGTAGGGCTGGAGATATCCGATGAATTTGATATAGCTAATGGCATTCCCCAAGGAAGTGCCATCAGTCCAGTATTATTTAATATTATGATTAATGATATTTTTACAAACCTAGATAGAAGGATTTGTTCATCCTTATATGCTGATGATGGAGCTATTTGGATCAGGGGAAGAGATGATAGAAGTGTTTTGAAAAATATAAAGGAGGCTATTCAAAAAGTAGAACAATGGTCATATAATTGGGGATTCAAACTTTCACCCAGTAAGTCTTGTTACATGTACTTCACCAGGAAGAGAAAGATAGAGGAACAGAGTCTTAATTTATATGGGCAACCAATAGAAAAAGTAAAGGAATTTAAGTATCTGGGGATCTGGCTTGATGAAAGGTGTATGTGGAAGTTGCATATTGAAAAATAAGAAACAAAATGCAAAGAAGTAATCAACTTAATGAGAACTATATCAGGATATAACTGGGGAGCAGATAAGCAGACATTAATAGATATATAAGGCATTGATGAGATCAGCAATAGATTATGGATGTTTTGTCTATGGAGCAGCAGCCAAAACACACTTAAACAAAATTGAAAGAATACAAAACAAAGCCTTGAGACTCTGTAATGGTGCAATGAGGACAACTCCAACAAATGCCGTGCTGGTGGAATCAGGTGAAAGCCCACTAGAGTTCAGAAGGGACAAACTTTCATTAACATATTGGATTTGGTTAAGAGGATGTGGGGATGAAAACATCAAAAGTGTCATAAATGAATGCTGGGAATATAACTGTTTTAAGGGAAATGGTTTTGGATGGAAGATAAAAGATAAAATAGAAAAATATGGCATTAAAGAAATTTGTTTTAATTCCCCATTGCCAATAAGTAATGTTCCTCCATGGCTTTTTCCTAAGGTTAAAGTAGATTTTAGTATTATGAACCTAAAGAAGGATTGGGTGGAAAGGGAAATAGGGCATTGTGCAAATCAATATATAAAGAATCATTATTACAGTTATTTACAAATATTCACTGATGGCTCAAAAGATCAAAATGATCACGTTGGTACAGGAGTTTACATCCCACTTTTTCAAATTCAACTGAGCAATAGGATAACAGATAAATTATCAGTTTATCCAGCAGAGATGATGGCAGTCATTTTTGGACTTCAGTGGGTGGAGGAGGTGAGACCAGACAGGGTGGTAATGTGTGTTGACTCTGCAGCAGTGTTATTGAGCTTACAGAACATGAAGTCACTCAGGGAAGATTTAATGAATGAAATTCTTCAGTGTCTGTTCAGAGTTCAGAAAGTGGGGATCGAGGTAGAATTTTGCTGGGTACCTGCCCATGTGGGATTAAGAGGTAATGAATTTGCAGATAGGGTGGCAAAAAGAGCACTTAGTATGAGACATGTAACAGATATTCCATTTGGAAAAGGTGAAGGAAAAGCACTAATCAAAAAGAAAATATCAGAATTTTGGCAGAAGTGGGATGAGGACAGTAAGGGCAGAAATTATTACAGAATACAAAACAGTCAGAGCACAGAATATTAAGGGAAGAAGTAGAAGAGAGGAGGTAGTTCTATCAAGATTAAGGTTTGATCACACTGGTTTAAATAAGCCATTATTTTTATTGGGAAAAGTAAACTCACAAGTCTGCACATATTGTAATGTTATAGAAAATGTAGAACATGTAATTATGTACTGTAGTAAATATAACGAAGAAAGGGTAAGGTTG